GTCGTGTTGGCGTCGTCGTCGTCGTGGTGGTGGTTGTGGTTGTGGTTGTGGTTGTGGTTGTGGTTGTGGTTGTGGTTGTGGTGGTGGTGGTGGTGGTGGTGGTGGTGGTGGTGGTTGTGGTTGTGGTTGTGGTTGTGGTTGTGGTTGTGGTTGTGGTTGTGGTTGTGGTTGTGGTTGTGTTGCGGTCGTGGTTGTGGTCGTGGTCGTGGTCGTGGTGGTGGTGGTGGTGGTGGTGGTTGTGGTTGTGGTTGTGGTTGTGATTGTGGTTGTTGTTGTGGTTGTGGTTGTGGTTGTGGTTGTGGTTGTGGTTGTGGTTGTGGTTGTGGTTGTGGTTGTTGTGGTTGTGGTTCTGTTGTGGTTGTGGTTCTGTTGTGGTTGTGGTTGTGGTTGTTATGGTTGTGGTTGTGGTTGTTGTGGTTGTTGTGGTCGTTATGGTTGTGGTTGTGGTGGTGGTGGTTGTTGTTGTTGGTGGTGGTGGTGGTGTCGTTGGTGTCGCGGTCGTCGTCGCCGTCGTCGTCATCGTCGTCGTCGATGTTGTTGTTGTCGTTGTTGTTGTTGTTGGTGGTGGTGTTGGTGGTCGTGTTTTTCAGCGGCCGCGAATTGTAGCCGTCGAATCACCACAAGACAACCTGTGGAGGGGCCCAACCTTTGAGATTCCAGCAGTTCCTTGGCTCTCCAACCACACATTTGTGTGGCTCAGGCTGTGCATGGTACCGTTTTTACAGCTTCTGTGAGGAAGCCTCCGGTTGAGCTTTCATTCCACCAGTGTGTAAAAGTGCTAAGGACAGCAAGCGAGTTGCCTAGGACAAAGTCCCGAAGTTGTAGCTGACCTGACTGGTGCACTCACTGTTCGAAAGATGGCATGTCCCGTATTTGGAGGGGAATGCAGGTTCCTGGAACCTGCAGGTTGAAGTCTGCTGCAACGATCAGACTGTTCCGATGTGCTGTGTGTTGAATCTCTGCGCTCATGGCTTCTAGCACTGCCTTTAGGGTGTCCCCTCGGGGCTTCGTGTGCTGATAGCAGTTCAGCACCACAAACGGAGAGAGCCTATGCCTGAAAGACACTGCAAGAGTGACGATGTAACATAACAAAGACTCCTCCGGAACGAGAAGGCAGCTGTGAACTCGAGACATGGTAGGCTCAGATGAGCTCTGCAAATTTTTGAATCACGGTGCATAAGGAGTAACTTGCGTGGATATTGGAAAATGTTTCCCTCGCTCTCCATGCTCCTAAATCAAAGCTCCTCTGAACCGTGACTTAACGAGAGCTAGGAGTTACTTGGGCTAGAGGCTGCATTAGGTAGTCGATTTGGCTTCGTCCCTGAGGACTCGACAACTAACAAAGGTTGGCGTTTTGGATGTAAAAGTGACAGGCACGCCATACTGAAGGCGTTAACCTGGAGCTGGCCCGGTCCCAAATCCGGGGGGAGACAACACTTGCCAAGCAACTCGTTACTGCTCCTAAGCTTGAGAAGATCATATCGGCGAGCCTACAAAAGAGCCACAAGGGATGGCACTGCGGCTTATCGAGGTGGGGAAATTAGCGTTGCTCCACCCAACCGAGCTTTAGGGACAGCGTTGCTCAACCCAACCGAGGTTTAGGGACAGTCAATCTACCGGGTCGTCGGGCTAACCTCCGATCAGACCAACATCCGCCACAAACCTCTACTTCCGAGGTAGCCTCCGACCAGGTCACATAGAACCGGACTCTTTTCGCAGAGAACTCTCTCACTTCCAACCTGGAATGCAGGGGGTTTCAGCTCCCAGCAGCGGCATGAAGTTCAGCAATGGGTGCAGACGTGCCCGCATCATGTCGTATGCCTGCAGGAAACACATTGGTTCAGGAGCCTCCCAGTTTCGCGCCAGGGGCTGGCATGTCATCACGAGCGGCTACGTCGCCTCGGACTCAGCAGAACCTCCTTGCACAACATGTAAGTGCGTGCACCCCGCAGGCAAAGAGCCTTCAGCAGGAGGTTTGGCAGGAGATACAACCTAGGTTAACTGCAACGTCCACTTCCTGCCAACACCTTGATGAGGTTAACGACGTCCTGGTTGAGGTAGCCTCCCGGGCTCGTCTTTCTCGGAAACTTTCCCCATGGCACAGCCGATTTGGACTGCTCCACAGAAACCGTCGTCGACTTCGGCAGCTACGTATGGGTCGCCCTCAGAATCTCAGACTTGTAGCTCAGCAAGTTCATGCTCATCACTTTCTTCAACAAGCCTCCGTTTTGCAGAAGCAACAGGTGAAGGCACACAGACAGCGCAAAGTAATGCCGGCTGTCCGAGAGGTCTGCTCCTTGTTTTTGAAGCCAAACCCAAGGCCGTCTTATCAGACGCTCAAGACGTTCGCTCCTTCGGATCCTCAGCCACCAGTCTGACTGCTTGAAAACGGAGGGCGGCAGGGTTCAAACTTCCCAGGAAGGCTTGCAGTCCTTAAGAAGCTTTTTGCGCGGGACCCTCCGCTCCCGTCCAACTCTGTTCCCTTCCCGAAATTGGACCCCCAATCTGTGCTATGCAGATAGCCTCCATTGAACCACACAAAGCCGTGCCGTCGGGCTCTGGCCCGGCCTCCATGTATAAACTTTGTGTAGGCATAGTTGCTTCCAACTTCCAACCTCCTTCGCCTCTCCCGTTCCTCCTCCTCTTCCCTTGCTTTCCTCTTCCACTCCTCTGTCCTCAGAGGTTGTCCCTGTTCTCCCTCTTCCTCCTTGCCGTGCTCCCTCCCCAAGTCTGCTGCCTCAGCAAGCCTGGCAAGCCTCCTGCGCCACCGGACACGCTAAGACGTCTAGGATTCCGGCTGCAGGCTGTCCTGTCGGTCTGCCAGCCCGATAAACCGCATTTGGCATACTCCCCGAGACGAGGCATAGCAGACGCCCAACTGCGAGTCATCTCGCACCTTCGCAGAGTCAAACTTGCACTCTCTTCCCTCACCGTAGGGAAGAAAGAGCAGCGTCGATTTGGCGCCCCTGCCAAACCGGAACTGTAAAAGGGGGCCTCACTTTTAGTTTAGACCTCTCGCAGGCATTCGATCGGATGCGCCGACAGGCGCTAATAGACGCTCTAATAGCATCTGATGCTTCCGAACAAAGCCTGGGTTGTCTCGCTGCGCCAAAAGTCTTCGTATCTTCTTCGCTACGAGGATTGCACCGGTGAGATTCATTCGATAACAGGCATAAAGCAAGGCTGTAAGCTCGCGCCGTCACTGTTCGCCCTGGTGGTTTCGCACATATTCAGCAAGGTAGGTCTGGATGTTGGCCCAGAGCAGGTCCAAGCTTTCTTAACGGGATTCGCGGACGTGCTGGTTTTTGCACAAAGACATTCTCTCTCCTGGCGAGAAGATCTGCTCGTAGCTCACAAGATAATCCTCTCGCTCCTTGTGCATCTGCAGGATGCGGGTCTTCAAGTTAAGTTAACCCCGCAAAATGTATTATCATGTACCGCCTCAAACGCGGGCTCTTACGCCAGGCCGCCAGGCATGCCGACTTTTCGAGTACACGAAGGTGAGAGAGGGAACAAGTACCCTGGTTTGGGGGTTGTCCCCTTAATCCGATTGAGGAGGGCTCAATTCCTGATGGTGAAGAAGCCTCCTGCCGAGCACATCCCTTTAAACAGATAGGCTTCCCGGGTCCATTCAATCTCAGCTACTGCAACCACTCCGACCACTCCTACCTCACATACAACTTTCGGCAGGACCAGGCAGCAGCCAAGAAAACTAAGGTCAGGAAATTTGTGAACAGTCGCGGAGGGGCGTCCATGACCAGTCGCCTCCTGATATGCGGAGCTCTGGTCCAGCGCGTCGTTTGGCCTCGAGACAGCAGGTCTCACGCCATCCTCTGCACGGAAGCTTCAGTCTTGGTTGCCAGACAGACAAGAGCTGTAACTCACCAGCCCTCCCATCTCACGAAGGTCTCTACGAGCAGCTTGCTAAAGCGGCGCAAACTACCTCAACCCCTCACTCATATAGCACATCCTCGCGTTGCAATAATCTACCACGGGCCGCTCGTGACATCTGACATTGAGTCCCCTCGGTTCGACTTTATATGCTGCGCCGCCACGGCCTCATAGATGCGGCTTGAACTGCAAATCAGCTCCAAATCATACATCTGTTATTTGATCAGTAGAACTCTTGCTTCACGTGTGTGCTGATAAGAGACTCCCAAGACTGCAACGTGAGTTGCCCCTGCAGAAAGCATATAGGTGCACCTTCGTGAGAATGCGCAGCATTCAAGACCACTTTTGTATGCAGTGCAGCATGGGAAGATGGAAATGTCAGGAGGCTACCTGACTTGACAAGGTGGTGAGAATTTAGTAGTACATCTCGGCTGTTCGGTGCTTGGCCCAGATGTCTGTGAAAGCGGTGCAAAGGTGCCTGGCGCAGTACGGGAGCTGGAAGCGGGCATTGCTGTCCAATACAGCCATCATACGAGTAGCCATTTCTGGCAGGAAGACTGTGCCGCTGTTGACAGTGTGATCGCCTCTTCGGTGAGCCTGGAGATGAAATGAAGGCAGGTTCGCCCAAATCCGAGCAGCGTTGCTGGAGCGGGGGTTGAGGAGCAAGTCTCTTTTCGCGCTGGGCCAGGACTTGCTCGAGTGCTCGCGCAAGCCTTCTTTAGCCATGCACCAGCAGCCGTGCCCTCCAGGCTCGCATGGGAATGTCAAGATCTCAACTGTCGCAAACCATCGATGAAGCTGCTATACCCATCGTCGACAGCAAGAGCATAGATGTGATCTGCCTCCTTATCCATTTCCGTGCATGGCAAGATGTGTGTACCCCTGTGATAGGAAACAGCCGGGCCACCGTTGGCACACTTGTACATACTGCAGGGATGTCTGGGCAGCTTGGGCGGTTCCAGTTGTAACAGAATGTCTGTCATGACAAACACTTGCTAGTCTCTGTCTATCACCGGTGCCATTCCAAGTGGGGGAGCTTCCCTGACATACCTTCATATGTCGTTTTCCCCAGTGCTGTGCTCCCTCTGGACTCCCTGCAGAGTGCAACAAACGTGCTCGTCAGTGCCTTTAACTGGGCGTGCACAGACATTATTGCAACGCTAGACGTGAACCCATACACAGCAGTACGAGCGTTCCCATTCTTTACGTTTGCTGCCAATTACTTGCGTGTGCATCCGCCCAGGCCAGTCCACTTTTTAGCGCTGCACGGTCCTCAGTCACCCATTGCCAAATCCATTTCTACAATTCTCCGAAAAATCCTAAGTGGACAATGGCTTTGCCTCAGTTTCTTCTCAAGTGCTCGTGAAGTAGCCTCCGACACTCCCTCAGAACACTCCACTATAGTCACTATGGTCGGATTACTTCGTGCCTTCAGATTCAGTGCGGACGTGCAGCCTGATGCTGTCTCCTACGAGCGTACGCTGAGGCTTGCCAATGTGGACCAAAACATCTGCGTCTTCATTCACCCTCGATGGTCCTGATGCAATCCGCGAAGGCGTTCCTTGCCGTGGGGCAGAGTTCAAGGAAACCGGTTTCAGCTTCACCCTCCCAGTGAGCCAACACAGTGGTATCTCGACACAAGCACACATACATAAACTTGTCTTCACCCCGAGCCTCGGAGAGACCTCTTCGTGCCATCGTCAGCACAACAACCGCCTCTAGGAGTATTTCGCTTGACGGGGCGTCGCCGAACAATACTGCAATTCTGCGCTATGAGAGCCGCAACATAGACGACACGGGCCGACGAATTGAGGACAACTACAAGGCCAAAGTGCTTAACATGCAATGGTTCCCCCTGCGACCTACACATCTATGTCCAGAGTGGTCGTCAGGCAAGTTCTGTGCCCCCCCCCCGAAATTTAAGTCGGTGGTGCACAGAATTTGAGCTTGTGCTTGGCTCGAAATTCTTACAAAAATACGGTTACCTAGCCTCCCAAATTACATCATCTAACCTACGCGATTTCCTCGAAATGCAACGATGCTCTGCGCAGCCTAGACGTGTACAGAAACCAGCTAAGCAGCTAAACTTTTTCAACAAACTTCCGAAACGAGTACAAACTTGCATGGATAGGCTTTGAGCCGGATTACAGATTCGGGAGGTTGCCGTGCAGTATCTTTGCTGCTATGACCGCAATTTCCCGGCCTCTTCTCGGATAGCGCTTCGCGCCATGCTAGAAACTTCTTGGCCACAGGAGAGTCCATTGGTCATGTGGCCAGAGGTTTGGAAGCGAATCCTAGAAGCAGCTCTACCACGGTTTGTAGAGCAAACATACCTCATCGATGTCGTATTTGCCGGCAGTGCAGTCTCAGCTGTGTACAGCGAGATATTGAGCGCCAGACCTGACGAGCATGGGGACTGAATCGCAGATCCATTCAATGCTGCCTGCCAACACCTCACTGCCAAGTTTTCCTTAAACTCTGGACTTGTCAAACTTCTTCCCAGGCCGCATTGCAGTGCAGACTCCTCGGAGCGGCTGCAGTGTGCATGTGCAGCTTGCTCGGGACGGCGTGCGAGGCTTCACTTCGAAAGGCTGCTTATGCCAAAAAGCCGCAAGGCAAGCCACAGGTTCACACTCTCCGATGCCCGCCAAGGTGCGGGACGACCCGCGCGAGCGACTAAATGAATTGGAGGTGGTTGTTGCTGTTGTTGTTGTTGTTGTTGGTGGTGGTGGTGGTGGTTGCTGTTGTTGTTGTTGTTGGTGGTGGTGGTGGTGGAGGTGGTGGTGGTGGTGGTGGTGGCGGGGGTGGTGGTGGTGGTGGTGGTGGTGGTGTTGGTGTTGGTGTTGTTGTTGTGGTTGCTGCTGCTGTTGTTGTTGTTGCTGCTGCTGCAGTGGTTGTTCGTTGGTGCTTGGTCCTGCTTGGTGTCTGTTTGTTTTTGTTTGTTTGTTTCTTTCTTTCTTTCTTTCTTTCTTTATTTGTTTGTTGTTGTTGTTGTTGCTGCGGTGGCAAGCCTCTCGGCTCAGGCGAGGTCAGGCTAGTACAGTCCGCCTTTTCCTCGCTCGCCATGGCAACTCTTGTCAGAGCCTGAGCTGCTCCGGTCCCAAGTCCGGAGGGAAGCACGCGTTAGCAACAGAGCCTACTTGCTTCCAGAGGTGAGGGTTGTCGATTCGCGAAATCGACAGGAGTTATGCTCAACATGAGCATGACGAAACAGCATCACGACTCAACCAGCAATCGGCCCAAGCACCCCAAAGGGGCAGGCAAAAGGTCCTACCAGAAGGCTTTGCGACAAGCAGAGAAAAATGGCACCGCCTTCTACAGAGGAAAAAGTCTCACCCTTCAAGCGCTAGGAGGTACTCCAGCCACTTCTAAACCTGAGCCACCGAAAAGGTCAAAGCCTACTAGAAGCCGAGAGCATGACGACATTAGATATTTATCTTGGAATGCAGGGTCGCTGACTACAGCAGTGTGGGAAGAGTTACTCTC